TCTTAATGTCCCGTGAGATCCATACATTAAAGTATAATTTTATAAACAGATCGTTGGCGCAGAGCATTGTGATGGTTCGTGTGAGTAACTAACTTATATTTAGTAAACCAATTGGAATCCTTGATTGTTATGTATGCTGGTGCAGATATTTACATCACGAAAACAAATTCTGACAGAAGAAAAAAGATCAATAGCAAAACCTTGTTTTAATAACTGACGCAAACTGTCTTTTTTTGTTAAATGTTTTCATTATCAAAAACATCGTAAATTAAACCTGGAAATATTTTTAGGTATGCTATTTATATCTATGTATCTTCTTGATCAAAATGAATTTGTTTTTCAAAGGGTTAATTAAAACCGGAGACTACTAATTGTTAGTTAAGCAGTTTGATCTAGTTTTGGTGTTTGGCTGTATAATGGCTCGATATTATTTGTTGAAATCTTTCGAGTACGTAGGAGACGTTTCTCTACAGTTAGGTGTTCATTCTACTCAAATCAGCACAGTTGTTTTCTAACAGCTTCCTAAAAGCATAACGATTTTAAAAACCTTACGTAACGTTTTTTAATAAATTGACTGCTGGATTCTTTTAGTTAAACTTTCAGATATGTTTAAGGGCATATTTTCTCTAGATTTTGGTGTATAGTTTTCACAAATTGAGCAAAAAAAACTTGTCCACCTACAAAAAACGGAATGTCCCTTTAACTAAAACTAAATCAAGTAAAAAGTCAGCTACATTAATGTAATTTATTTTTATCTGAATTTCGTCGATAAATCAATTTTTGTCTGAAAGATCAATTTTTATTGTTAATGTTGGAATGACTTTGAATGTCTGAAATGAAATGTCTCGAAGAGAAGAATAGTTTGTGCTCTCTATTTGAACTAACAAAATGCCGCTCTTACTATTGTGGAGTTTTTAACCAGTTCAAATATTTTGGATTACTAGCAAATGTGAGATAAAAATGTTCCCAAAATTATTCACTTCCTCGATATAAAATTGAATATAGAGCACATGAATATTGAATAGTCTACCACATTGATTTCTGTACATTACATATTATAAAAAAGGAACTATATCAATCCGTGATAAAAGACAGTGCCAAATTAAGTATTCAGCAATCGATCTATAAAGCATTGTTTTTGTAACGTTTATGACTCTTGGAGAAAAGAGAGAAACAAGATTCATTTGACCTAGAGAAGTGGCGGCTGCAGAGCTTTGGATTTTGAGAGGTCGTGGTGGGGGGTGGGGGGTGGGGGGATGGTTGGGTTAAATAAGGCGCGTAAATCCTGCATGAGTTTCCCGAATTTCATGAGTATTATTTTAATATTATTACCTTCCTACAATAAAAAAATGCATAGTTCAACAATTGAAATATTGTGATTTTGGAGCCATATACACTAACATTTCCTCCTCTCCCCTTCCTCCACCCCTCCACCACTACCGTAGGGAATTAGAGGAATGTCAGGGTTCATTGAATTATTTCACCAGCTAACACTCGGGT